AACGCATCGACTGTGAGATATCTGCAAGATAATGCGCACACAGCAAAGAAGACGCCGGAAAAACTCGAGGAATTGGGCTGGGAATGTCTCCCGGACCCGCCGTATAGTCCAGATCTGGCACTCTCAGACTACCACTTATTTTGATCTATGCAGCACTTCCTGGCCGATAAACACTTCAAGGGTCACGACGAAGTCCGAATTTGGGTAGGCCAATACTTCGACTCGCAGCCTCAAGATTTTTTCAGTAAAGGGATCCGAGATTTGAAAGAAAAATGGAGAAAGACTATTTAATGAAAGACGATTGCCAGCAACAGAGAATATCTTTTGGATTAAAGCGCATGGTTTTCTTTTTGTGGAGATAAATTTATTTTTCATTAAAAGGGTATTTTCATTCCGGACAACCTAATAGTTTCATGTTTATGGGAACGAAAAAAAGCTACGATAGAATTTTAGAAGAATTGTTTACATGGAATTGTTTACATAGAATTGTTTTACAAAACACAAATAATTTAAAACTAGTAAAGCACTTTGATTTTAAAAAGAACAAGGATCTTTACGGTTATCGGAGGGGACGGGGGTGGAAGTCGAGCAATTATCGGGGGAGTTTTTCGGGGAGTTTTTGGAGAGTTTTTGACCATCTTGCAGCCCGATTTTAGATAGATTTTTCTTAAGAAATTTTGATGAAACAAATAGTTTCTAAGAGTTAACGTTTTAAGCTATCTAAATCTTATTAAAACTTCCTGATCTGACAAGTTTAAGGCGCCTAAAAATGAGCTGCAAGTTGGCCAAAAACTCGCCCTTTCAAAAAATGCGTCTTTGGTATCAAAAAATAGCCCTGAATTTCAGCTATTTTTTGATACCTAAGCGCGCATTGTAGCCTAAACCGGTGTCGAGAAAAACGCGTCCAAAGTTAGACTACGCAACGCTCCGCACCATCATTATGGGGTGGGGTACTATTACAGTATTAACCGCAAAGGCCAAAGAACCAAAAACCAGCTAACCACTCAAGAAATGAAAAATGTTTTTGTTTTCGAGTACTAATAAACCTTTTTCTCACATAGCCATAGGAAAATCTTGAAATTTTTCGACTCTTCAGCATCTATGTTGATATTCGTGATATGCGCAATCAAAAAACAAAATCAAATAAACTTATTTATCACTCAATTTATTCTTATTTCCTTTTCCCTTTTCCGATGCCAATGTTCACTCCATGATTTGATCCATTTCCACAACGAGAGCATCGACAAACATCAGCTTTATCACAGTTTCCTGTGGCACAATTCTGAAATCAAATTAAATCATCTCACACAAGAATTCCAGAGTGTGGTGGCCAAAGACAAGAGGCCAAATGACACAAGCCATAGACAATTCGACGCAGAATTTTACGCTGATTCCGAGTCTGCTTCCCGTTTTTGCTATGGAGCACGCTGTCAAAAGTTATAAACATTCAAAGTTTTGTATAGGATTTCAAAAATCATCCCTGAAGTTTATAAGCTGATTTCCCAGAGAGCTGGCAAAGGCAGTGGTGGCCAAGTGGTAGTGGGCTAAGATACAAGGCAAGGCCTACAAGGCAAGGCAAAGCCTACAAGGCAAGGCAAGGCCTACAAGGCAAGGCAAGGCCTACAAGGCAGGGCAAGGCCTACAAGGCAAGGCAAGGCCTACAAGGCCTACAAGGCAAGGCAAGGCCAGTGCGAGTCCGCGGTTCAGTTTTCTTTGCTTTTTAGAGGTAATTGATCTTCATTTCAAATAAAAGTCTTCTTCAAACTACTTCTTTGATAAAAATCGTTACTTGTAACTATTAACATTAAAAAACAATCGTTAAAATCCAAAAAATCAAGTCTTCGCGACATTAATGACATTCGTCGATTTGACATCTGTCGATTTGACATCTGTCGATTCTAATTTAGCTACTGCTACGATAGGCAAAAGGCATAAAAGACTCACAGCCCTCAAGAAGCAAATAAAAGTGGCTGATTTGTGGACAGGAACTCAAATCCAGCAGGAGTCATGGTTTTTGCAGGGGTCTCAGCAACTGGCTGTTTTCTAATTAAAAAGATTCCTCTAAGAAGGATTTTCCGATTCTTTAATACAGGGTGCGGCATAAGTATGGTTACAAGGTTGTAACATTGATTTAAGAAACTGATTGATTTTTATTTCTTGCCAAAGGATTATTTTTTCTGCCAAAGGATTATTTTTTCTTAATTTGAATGCTTTTTTATATTATGTAGCAGTTTTTAAGCAAATTTTTAAGTTTGGACATAATGGCGAAGGCTTCTCCCAACCGTGCCGCTATTCTTCAGCTTGGAGCACAAGGACGATCAACTTCGGATATTGCCAAACTGCTAAAAATGCATCGAATGACGGTATACCGCATTTTGCAATAAAATAGAGTCGAAGAGTTTCCCAAAAGTGGACGTCCACCAAAAATTGATCACACGAGACTCAGGAAAATCATTAAGAAACGAATAAAGCGCAATCCTGCCCGAAGCATGAGAAAAATGGCTTCCCAATTGAATGTTTCTGATAGAACTATCCGTCGTATCGTCAAAAAGGATCTGGGTCTTCACCCTTACAATTTAAGGAAGCTTAATGGCCTGACGGATCTTCAAATGAGAAACAGGAAGCAAAAATGTGCTCTTCTTCTTGCAAGGGCCGCAAATGATGAGCATCTGACGACGCTTTTCACCGACGAGAAATTATTCAACATTGAGCAAGGTTTCAACTCTCAAAATGATCGAATTTTGGCTCAAAGCCCTCAAGAAGCAAATAAAAGTGGCCGATTTGTGGACAGGAACTCACATCCAGCAAGAGCCATGGTTTTTTTAATTTTTTTTAAGTTTGGACATAATGGCGAAGGCTTCTCCCAACCGTGCCGCTATTCTTCAGCTTGGAGCACAAGGACGATCAACTTCGGATATTGCCAAACTGCTAAAAATGCATCGAATGACGGTATACAGCATTTTGCAATAAAATAGAGTCGAAGAGTTTCCTAAAAGTGGACGTCCACCAAAAATTGATCACACGGGACTCAGGAAAATCATTAAGAAACGAATAAAGCGCAATCCTGCCCGAAGCATGAGAAAAACTGATCGCAGAAAAACAGCAACTGATCGCACACCGTTGATTTTCGTTTTTCTTTTTACTGACATTCATCGAATCACGAAAACACAAACCTGTGCTATACAAGAGGCCACACAACCGGCTCTTCCAAGTTTACAGCTAAGCGCTTCATTTGGAATGACAAAAATCGAAATTAACAGAAAAATATAGAAAGTTTTGGTCATTTTTGTGGTCTTTTGTGGTTTTTGAGAGTCTTTGTGTTTCTAGAAGTAACTTTCCTTTTCTTATATAGAGTTTTGGTCTTTTCTTTCCTCCTCTTTTCTTTCCCCTCTTTTCTTTCTTTTTTGGGTTTATTTGTTCGTGCAGACTGATGAAAGTCTCTCACCCACTCAAAGTAAACTTTTCGATCATCCCTTTTTTGGTAGGAGGTTCGTGAACGTTCGTGAACGCGGTCAAACCAAAAATCAAAGCAAAATTTGCAAAGATACTTTATTTTTTAAAGCTTTTCACTACAAAAAGACGACTGAACGACTTTTCACTGAGACATAAAATGGAAATTCTCTAACTAGAGAACTGTTTCAACTCGGTATCGAGTTGAGAAAAGAGACCTACCGTAAATACTGTAATAGTACCCTGCAGTGCATCTTGGCCACTATGCAGTGCGTGTGAGGGGAACCGATGGGACAATGATTATTTAGATATTCGATTCCGAATCTAGCGCAATCACTAATCAATAAATAGAATCAATCGTTGGTTTCAGAGTTTCAAAGCCCAAGAAAAAGAATACAAAGTGGGTTCCGTCTCTTTTTATCACGCAAACGATCTTTTGAGGAAGAACAAGAGAGTTAGAGATTCAAAATCAAAGCATCAAATAAAGTTTCACAGAAAAAAAGCTACTTTTCTGCACAACAACTAATTTCTTCCTACACAATTTTTACTATATGCTATTGGGTTGGGGAGAATGAGTCGGCGCCGAAAATCAAAAAAATGTCTAAAACTTCTATTCGACTTCGTCAAGTAATATGCGTTTGATATCAGTAGAATGGTTAACTAATTCTCTACAAAATGACATTTAAAAGAAAATTCAAACAGCGCCTCCGCTCAAGAAAAAGCCATTTTTTCACAAAAACTACAAACTGTGATCTAGAAAAAACCATTGGTGGGATCTTCCTGCAAATTTGGCAACTTAAGTAATTGAATGTGCTCTATCTTTTTTATATAAACACCAAAGAAGGTTTATGTGAAAGAAACTGTTCAAATGATGAGTCGGACTCTTTGCCATTTTAACCAGCTGCGTTTGGAAGTTCATAAACTCCACGAAAGAAAAGCTTTGTGGAATCTCTCAAAAGTCATTTTGTAGAGAAATAATGGATCCTTTTGATGAAATCAAACGTATGTTTAAAGAAGGCTTTATGTGTGCAAAAAGTCCCTTTAAAGTTTGGCGCCGACTCATTCTCCCCAACCCAATATATTAGACGAGTTTTGACCAAGAATCAGCTATCACCTTCTTTAAGTAGATTCGGTTCCGTTTTTCTTTTTTCAATGGTAAAAATGATTTTTTCTTTTGTAAAATTCAGTTGTAGAGTTCTCCAAAGATAAAATTGACTAAGTTAATGAATAAAACAAGTTACATGACTTGTTAGCAATCTTTCTTTTAGCGGTAACCACCAAAAATCACTGGTTACAACTTCAACTGATAACATCGACAAAGAATAACTTTTTTCACATGAAACGCATTTCGTTCTCACGTTCCTAATCTGAAATTACTCGGAATTTCGTGGAATTTTATGGCATTTTATGGAAGTATTAAAATTTTGATGGTTTTTTCAGGTCATTGTCATTCTTTTTTGCACATAAATGATAAGAGCTTGTGAATTTTCGCTGAAAATCGTTTTGTATTTAATTTTTGGTTCTCCGCGAGAGGCTTGGCTGCTTAGATAATGAGAAAATTCCCACCAATAAGCATTTTACTTGTCTTTCATCTGTTTTTAGGTAAGTTCGGTTTAGTGTTTTTGAAATAAAAGCCATCTTTTTTTTGAGAAATGTTTGAGAAATTTTCTTTTAGTTCAATCGATCGTCTCCGATTGTGCATGTTCGTCTAGTTCGGGTCAGTTTGATTTAATATATACAGTTGCTTTCTAACGTACCCCGTTTTCTATTGGGTTGATGGAAAAGTCCTTTCCGATTTTTTGGGAGAGTACCTTAAATTTGTCGAATTTAGACGTTTTATAGCTCATCCTAAAGCTGAATTCAAGACGGATCGATTGGTAAAACAAAAAAAAACGAGAAAAACGAAGGAAAATCGCGAAAAGCGGCGGAAATCTGTCTGTCAAGAAGCTCAGAATTTGCTCAGAAATCTGTCTGTCAAGAAGATCCAGAGTTCAGTCCAGATCCTTTCTCTTTGTCCAGAAGATCCAGAGTTCAGTCCAGGTCCAGAAGATCCAGAGTTCAATCCAAATCCTTTCTCTTCCTCCAGAAGATCTAGAGTTCAATCCAGATCCAGAAGATCCAGAGTTCAATCCCCTCTCCGGAAATCTTTCTTTGCCATTCCCTATTCATCAACCTAATATTAGTCTGCCAAAATCTGACTTGAACCGGACTTTCGTCCTATTGGGTCGATGGAAAAGTCCTTTCCGATTTTTTTTTCCTTTCCGTCTCTTAAATTTGTCGAATTTTGACGTTTTATGGCTCATCCTAAAGCTGAATTCAAGACAAATCGATTGGTAAAAAGCGTTTTGAGATATCTCTTTTCTAAAAGCTTTTACAGCTATTTTAGTAAAGGGCGGCAGAGCCAAAAAATGGCTGTTTTCACGTTTCGTTAGTTTTCCGTGCAGAAACCTAGGCTAAAAACATGTGTTTCGTGATCAGCGTCAAAAATAACCCCTAGACATGCATTTTCCGAAGCTTAGCAAAAAATTTTTGAAAAATATTGTCACCGGTGGAAGTCGAACCAGCGACCCTCAGATCAATAGCCTTTCCGCCGCTTTTCGCGATTTTCCTTCGTTTTTCTCGTTTTTGGTTTTTACCAATCGGTTTTTACCAACCAAAACGGTTTTTACCAATCGATCCGTCTTGAATTCAGCTTTAGGATGAGCTATAAAACGTCTAAATTCGACAAATTTAAGGTACTCTCCCAAAAAATCGGAAAGGACTTTTTGCATCAACCCAATACAAAAATTAAACAGATATCACATAATTTAATTGCTGTTCTCAGACAGTGAAAAGTGAGCTTTTAATAAAAAATCTTTCAAAATTGAACTCTGCAGGTTATTGGTCAGCTTGGTTAAATGTTGGTGCTTGTGTCCCGAGTTGGGTTTGGCTTCAAACGGGCACTGGAGACGCGTCGACTGCAAACACCACAACGAGAGTACAAGCCAACTTCACTTGTGGCTTCTATGGACGTCAGATTCAAGGACGGATATGTCTTTCAGCAAAAAGGGGATGTCCGTGCAGGTTGGGGGAAAGTGAAGGGTTTTTGTGCAAGGAAAATGATCTATCTTCACTCTACAGGGTGACCAAGAATTACCGCAACACACAAAAGGCTTAGCTTTTAACCAAATATGCAACGCATCTCGAAAAGTTAACTTAAATATCTTTATTCAACAAATAACAGTAACAAATTAACAATTAAATTCAAATTTTGCCTCCATCGGCATTCAGACCGGCCTGCAAACGTTTGGGAAACGCGTTATCGAGCAAATAGGCATCATCGAAGCTCATCAAAGCTGATCAGCGCCTTCTTCAAACTTTCGATATTTTTATGTAGTTTTGCACATGCTCTGGCTTCAAGAACATTCCAAACTGAGTAATCCAATGGGTTAAGATCGGGTGAGCTGGGTGGCCACTCAGAATGTCGACGACAGTCCGAGATGAAGTCCGGGAAGGTCTTTGAACAAAACTCTTGCACTTTCTTTGCCTTGTGAGCCGGCGCACCATCTTGTTGATGAGTCCAAATTTGATTTTTGAAGTGGCGTTGATCCCACGGAACAACCTCCTTCTTTAGCAAGTCCAAATAATTGACCGCATTTACGTTCACACCTTGAAGAACAAAGATCAATGGGGTCTTTCCATTGGCGGTTATCCCGGCAAAAATCACCACCGATGCAGGATGAGAACTGCGCGATACGGTGACGTTCGGCTGAGATTTTGCCCAAACTCGATCATTTTGCTTGTTGAGAATTCCCTCGACGGTAAATATCTTTTCATCGGTGAGCGGGATGTTGTGGTGATTGATTTCGTTGAACCGTTGCAAAAGTTGGGCACATCGGTCTTTTCGCTTGCCCTTCACAGCAGCTGATAGTATTTGAGATTTATTCTTCTTGTACGGCTTCATTTTCAGCTCTTTCTTGATGATTGTGTTGACGGAGCTTCTCTTCAGACCCATTTTCTGTGCCATTCCTCGAGCCGATTGGTTAGGGTTTAATCTTAGACGATCGCGCACTTTCTTGACATTAGCCGGAGTAACCGCTGTTCGTTTTGCACCTCTTCCAGGGCGATCAGATCCCTGGATCGATCAGAAACTGTGCCCAGAGTTGCATAACGTTGAATGGTTCGAGAAACGCGGCTTCTGGGGAGATTCAGGCGCTTTGAGATCTCGCTCGCCTGAACACGCTGCCCAAGGATCGATTGTCTTGAGCTCAAGGATCGATTGTCAATGTGGAAACGCTTTCACCATTCCTGAAAACAACGATACTAATGTATTGAAAGTTAGTAAACATACCATAAAATAAGAAAAATAAACAAAAACCATTAAATCAGGTAAGCAAAAGGTGAAATGGGGCTCATAACATAATACGACGTTGTTGCAGTAATTCTTGATCACCCTGTAATCCTAAAATTTTATCGGAGAAAAAAATTTTGCTTCTCTCGAGGGATTTGGTTCCTTCTCTACAGAGTTTCAGAGATTTTATCCTTTTCGCTACAGGTTTGGTTCCTTTTCTTCAAAGATTTGGCTAGGCTAGGTAAACTAGACCTGCAACCTAAGCCAGGTAAACTAGGCCTGTAAACTAGGCTCTACGGATTTGGTTGCTTTCCTTTTCTCTACAGATTTGGTTCCTTTTCTCTACAGATTTGGTTCCCTTTCTCTACAGATTTGGTTCCCTTTCTCTACAGATTTGGTTCCCTTTCTCTACAGATTTGGTTCCCTTTCTCTACAGATTTGGTTCCCTTTCTCTACAGATTTGGTTCCCTTTCTCTACAGATTTGGTTCCTTTTCTCCAAAGATTTGGTTCCCTTTCTCTACAGATTTGGTTCCCTTTCTCTACAGATTTGGTTCCCTTTCTCTACAGATTTGGTTCCTTTTCTCCAAAGATTTGGTTCCCTTTCTCTACAGATTTGGTTCCCTTTCTCTACAGATTTGGTTCCCTTTCTCTACAGATTTGGTTCCCTTTCTCTACAGATTTGGTTCCCTTTCTCTACAGATTTGGTTCCCTTTCTCTACAGATTTGGTTCCCTTTCTCTACAGATTTGGTTCCCTTTCTCTACAGATTTGGTTCCTTTTCTCCAAAGATTTGGTTCCCTTTCTCTACAGATTTGGTTCCCTTTCTCTACAGATTTGGTTCCTTTTCTCCAAAGATTTGGTTCCCTTTCTCTACAGATTTGGTTCCCTTTCTCTACAGATTTGGTTCCTTTTCTCCAAAGATTTGGTTCCCTTTCTCTACAGATTTGGTTCCCTTTCTCTACAGATTTGGTTCCTTTTCTTCAAAGATTTGGTTCCTTTTCTTCAAAGATTTGGTTCCCTTTCGTTCCAGATCTCGTTCTCCTGCAATCCTAAAATTCTAGTTATAGTTTTCATCTTTCACTAAATGACGTAAAGGAAAAAAACAAAAACACACAAATTTTAAAGAATGCAAAAAACCCAAAGACTTTTCAGTGGTGACGCTTTTCGAACGATTGCTTGCGGTGAAGCAGCTGCGTGTAACGATGACCGATACCCAACGATCATTTGTCAAGATGGATTTGAGTGTGTAATTTGTAAATTACCTTATTTACTCTATTAGTACTTCGCAGTGCTATTTTTTCGACCAAAAAAAGCGAATAGATACTTACTAAATCAATCAAACTTCATGTAAAAACTTAAAAACGTTATAATTTTATATAATTTTATTAAAATAACAGCAAAGATAAAAAGTAGATAACGGCCAGCAGCAGTTATCGATCAAAGACTGAAACATCAGAACCATCCAAAGCAATGTTTCCAACACGATCATTTACTCAATTGACGGCTTGTCAAGCTGTCAGCTCAATTGTCAAGCTCAATTATCAGGCTTGTCAAGTCAAGCTTCGGCCAGTTGTTTTGCTCCATCTGGAATTGGACCATCTTTCTTGAAACAGTGAATGAGAACATCTTCCGATCCATCCAAATCATCGTAATTGCACAATTTTTGAAAGAATGAATGATCATGTTCCTTGGCGACTCACTCCAAGCCGTCCAGACCCAATCGAGATATGTTTTCATTGGTGGAGGAGCCGGGTTTCCATTTTGAGTCACTGGTTTTGGTCCATTTGCCATTCAATGCTTGTAAAATGATCGATCTTTTCCTTTTTGCCCCGGCCCTTTTCTCAAGCTCATCCTTTACCATTAGAGAATGCAGTACTATTAGAGATTGCAGTACTATGAGAGACTGCAGTGCTATTAGAGGCTGCAGTACTATTAGAGACGTAGTACTATGAGACTGCAGTACTATTAGAGGCTGCAGTACTATTAGAGACGTAGTACTATTAGAGGCTGCAGTACTATTAGAGACGTAGTACTATGAGACTGCAGTACTATTAGAGGCTGCAGTACTATTAGAGACGTAGTACTATTAGAGGCTGCAGTACTATTAGAGACGTAGTACTATGAGACTGCAGTACTATTAGAGGCTGCAGTACTATTAGAGACGTAGTACTATTAGAGGCTGCAGTACTATTAGAGACGTAGTACTATTAGAGGCTGCAGTACTACTAGAGGCGCAGTACTATTAGAGGCTGCAGTACTATTAGAGACGTAGTACTATTAGAGGCTGCAGTACTATTAGAGACGTAGTACTATGAGACTGCAGTACTATTAGAGGCTGCAGTACTATTAGAGACGTAGTACTATTAGAGGCTGCAGTACTATTAGAGACGTAGTACTATGAGAGACTGCAGTACTACTAGAGGCGCAGTACAATTAGAGGCTGCAGTACTATTAGAGGCTGCAGTACTACTAGAGGCGCAGTACAATTAGAGGCTGCAGTACTATTAGAGGCTGCAGTACTACTAGAGGCGCAGTACTATTAGAGGCTGCAGTACTACTAGAGGCGCAGTACAATTAGAGGCTGCAGTACTATTAGAGGCTGCAGTACTATTAGAGACGTAGTACTATGAGAGACTGCAGTACTACTAGAGGCGCAGTACAATTAGAGGCTGCAGTACTATTAGAGGCTGCAGTACTACTAGAGGCGCAGTACAATTAGAGGCTGCAGTACTATTAGAGGCTGCAGTACTACTAGAGGCGCAGTACAATTAGAGGCTGCAGTACTATTAGAGGCTGCAGTACTACTAGAGGCGCAGTACTATTAGAGGCTGCAGTACTACTAGAGACGTAGTACTATTAGAGGCTGCAGTACTATTAGAGGCTGCAGTACTACTAAAGGCGCAGTACAATTAGAGGCTGCAGTACTATTAGAGGCTGCAGTACAATTAGAGACCGCAGTACTATTAGAGGCTACAGTACAATTAGAGGCGCAGTACAATTAGAGCCGCAGTACTATTAGAGACGTAGTACTATTAGAGACTGCAGTACTATGAGATATTGCAGTTCTAATAGAGTAAATACGGTAGTATAAATTGTGGATGTTAACAGATCGTCCAGAAGGTCTTGAAAGAATTGAGTTTTATAATTTTAAACCTCATCTAATGAACTATTTTAGTCTAGTCGATGGTCAATGTGTCCCTTCTTCACCTCAACCGTCCGACCCACCGGTTATCGTCGATCCAAATGAGAACAATCCGTTTTGCAGTATTACTAAATTTTATCTATTACAAAAAAAGGTTTTTTAGATGTACAACCGGTTTGTGATTGTCCGAGTGGTGGTAAGGCCTTTCTGACGGTTTTCCAAGAACAGAACCATCTTTCAGGTGTTTGGAGTGACTGGCAGAACACATCCACGTGTCCTCTAATGCCATCTTTCAGTCGCACGTATTCTAATCTTTCTTTTGAGGAAGCCACATCATCTCCGCTTGGTTGTGGCTCATGTCAAGTGCAACTTCAAGAAAGAACATGTCTCTCAGAACCGCTCGGATGTCCTTGCACGTTTGTTTTTATTCTCAGTTTATTAATGTTAAAAATTTGCATTTATCCACAACTATAAGGTTTTTGCAAAAGCCTTTACAATATTTTTTGTGTTTCTGTACAATTTTTGTCTTCACTGTCTTTACAATACTGCTTCAGTCTTTTTTATTTTTGGGACTTATCTTGGAATTACCGAAAATCTATCTACATTTTCGACATGTCATTCTATTTTATTAGGTTGGCAAAAAAGAAATGCGCGTTTTCGTTAAAAGTTTATTTTATTATAAAAACAAGATAACAATACTAGGTTGGTGCAAATGAAATTTCGTTTTTTTACAAACATTAAAGTCATCCAAAATTTTTTTTGATAACAATTTATTTAAAACAATAAGCACCATTATTATCTATGACATCCCTCCAACGTTGCTACAGATTGCGGATCCCCTTCTCAAAGAACGCTTGATTCTGTGATGCAAAGTAGTTGGTCACCCAATTTTCGACTTCTTTTGCATTCTTAAACTGGCAATTCTCAAGGGAATGTTGCATCGATCTGAAAAGGTGAAAATCGGAGGGTGCTAAGTCTGGACTATACGGCGCATGTGGTAAGACCTTCCATCCTAGCTTCTCTAGTTCCTTACAAGAGGTTTTTGCCGTGTGAGCTGGAGCATTATCACGGAGAAAGTTGATAGTTGAGGGATTTAGGCCTTTTTCACGCAAAATTTTTCACGCAACCTTCTTGAGTTGTTGAATAAAATAAGATGAATCGACTGTTTTTCCGGGCTCTAATAATTCAAAATGAACAAGTCCATTGATATTCCACCAGCAAGACAACATCACTTTGCGCCCATGATAATCCGGCTTTGGAGTTGGAATTGGCGCTTGACCTTTTTCTCAGCCATTGTCTTTTTCGAGAAGTATTATCAAAGTGAATCCACTTCTCATCCATCGTCAAGATATTCTCAAAAAAAATGGCTTCTTTTCGACTTCTGGAGCAAGATATGGCTGATCGGAACGCGTGCTCCCAGACTCTCAACACTCAATTGATGTGGAACCCATTGTCCATTACGATTTGTCTTTCCAATTATTTCCAAATGGCGTACAATTGTTGAATTGGAGATGTTTGGCAAGTTCTCGTGTTGTTTGCATTGGATCAGCTTCAATTAATTGTTCCAATTCATTGTTGTCGATGGCTGTGGCACGATGTCCATGCGATTCGTCTTCAAGGGATTCATTACCATCTCGGAATTGGGCAAACCAGAGCTGGCATGATCTTTCGGTGATAACCTGTTCCCCAAAGGCGGAACAGAGATCACGATGTGAATCAGCAGCGTTTTTGCCCATTTTGAAGTCATAGAGAAGACACGTGCGCAGAACATACTTTTGATCCACCATGATCTAAAGCAAAAATCAATTAAAAAGTGAAAGCTCTGACTTTGAAAAAATGCGAAAATAAAGTAAATATCCAAGAGTACAAATGCACAAAAGAACATCAAATAAGCTCTTCAGATTAAAAAAATAGGAACATTTTATATCGACCGAAATTTCTTTTGCACCAACCTAATACATTAATCCAAAAGGTATTCGCCATCTGCATCAATGACTTGTCGCCAACGTTCACGCAGAGAATGGATGCCCTTCTTGAAGAACTCGACCGGCTGCGACTCGAAGAAGTTGGACACCCAAATTTGGACCTCGTCGCCGTTCTTGAACTTTTTCTCGGCCAAGGAGTGGTGCATTGATCGGAACAGATGGTAGTCGGAAGGCGCCAAGTCTGGGCTGTATGGCGGATGAGGCAGGACTTCCCAGCCCATTTCTTCAATTTTCTGCTGGGTGTTTTTTGCGACATGCGGCCGAGCGTTGTCGTGAAGGAATTTTGTCGACGCCGTACCACACCTTGACGTCGCAGCGCCTGGTCCACGCGGTCCAATTGGCCTTGGTAGAGGTTCGCCGTAACTGTTTGACCCGAATCCAGAACCTCAAAGTACACCAGGCCTTTACTGTTCCACCAAACACAAAGCATCACCTTTTTTCCGTGGATGTCCGGTTTTGTAGTCGGTTTTGGAGCTTCACCGGGGTCCAACCACTGCCGCTTTCTTGCTGCGTTGTCGTATTGGATCCACTTCTCATCCGACGTAACAATGGAGTCGAAAAACCCACTGTTCTTGGCGCGGTGAGCGAGAATTCCGGCGATTGCGATGCGTGTCGCCTTGTTTGCGTCGGATAGCTTATGCGGTACCCATTTTCCGCATCTATTCGTCTTGCCCATCCCATGCAGATGGTTCTCAATGGTGGCATGAGTGCAGCCGAACTGTTCTGCCAGGTCGCGAGTGGTTTGGCGTGGATCCGACTCAATGGCTTCCTTCAATGCGTCGTTCTCGATGACTTGAGGTCGACTCCCGTGTTTTTGGTCTTCCAAGCTTTCGTCGCCGTCTCGGAAGCGCTGGAACCATCGTTTACACTGACTTTCAGATAGAACATCTTCGTCAAACACTTGAGATAGAGCGCGATGAGCTTCAGCAGCCGATTTGCCTTGCTTAAATTCATATCACAAGCAGGCCCGCAAGCGAAATTTTTGGTCCGACATTTTATAAACACTCTTTCTTGTAAAAAAACAAAGTCAACATAGAAAAATTATATATCAAACGATGCGCAAGAACACGCTCTTTCCAATAGAATAAACTATTTTAAAAAATCTTTTACTGTGAATAAAATACAAATCAACAAACACAACGCTCATTTCTTTTTTGCCAACCTAATATTTTACAAACCACGTGTCCTTCGCCAAAAGTTCCCCCTTCGCTGAAAAGGAAATTAACGATTTTTACGGGCAAGGAACGGTGACTATGCGATGTAGAATTGGATCTACAGTTGGATCTACAATTGGATCTACATTTGGATCTACATTTGGTATCATTGCTTTCAAAAGAACGACTTCTCTCTTGAAGATCAGCCGAGGTCACGGCGACCGACTGGTCCTGATAAATCCAAGCCATTGGATCTACAATTAGATCTACAATTGGATCTACAATTGGATCTACAATTGGATCTACAATTGGATCTACAATTGGATCTACAATTGGATCTACAAATCTACAATTTGATCTACAATTGGATCTACAATTGGATCTACAATTGGATCTACAATTGGATCTACAATTGGAGCTACAATTGGATCTACATTTGGTATCATTGCTTTCAAAAGAACGACTTCTCTCTTGAAGATCAGCCGAGGTCACGGCGACCGACTGGTCTTGATAAATCCACTCTTCTGCCTTCTGAAAAACGATATGATTCTTATGGTATAATCTTCTGACAACAAACAATCAGCCCGTGAGTTAGCAACTTCAGTATGCTCATACCATAGTTGACCGTCATCTTCAATCGATGGGCTACAAATTAAGATTCGGGTCGTGGGTCCCACATGCATTGACTAATGTGTCAAAATGGCAAAGGCTGTATCAGCCGCTCTACTCTCGCATTATTACCGTCGATCTTTTTTCCCCCTTGATAATAGGCCATGAAAAATGGGTAACCTTTGTCAACTTTCGGAGACATAAACAATAGTTTGCAAAGGAAAAACGCAGATTGTTAGATTGCAAAGGTTGCTCCAGACGAAAAACCAAAGCCCGACCCCAAATCCGAAATTCACCAGAAGAAGATCATGTTATATGTTTGGTGGGACAGGGAAGGAGTTATTTGGGAGTTGCTAGAAGAAGGCACGACTAAAGGCACGACTAAAGGCACGACTATCAAGGGTTCCTTATACGATGATCAATTGGATCGAGTCGCTTCTGAAGTGAAAAAAAGAGGCCAAACATTGGTAAGGATGTTGCAGCATGATAACGCACGGCTCGACATTGCAAACTTGACCAAAACTGAAGACTTTAGGCTGGTCAGGTCTTTAGGTCACTCCAAACACCTGAAAGTTCTCCTGCATGCGCTTTACTTGCCTGACTTGGCCCCTAGTGATTTTCATCTTTTCAAGGAGATGGCTGTTGATTTTGGAGACTTTGGAGATTTGGAGGAAGTCGAAAAATGGATCGGTTCCTTCAAGCGGCAGCCCTGTAGCTTTTGGAAGAAAGGAATCAACGCTTTGCCCAATAAATGGCAATAAGTTATACTTAATAATCGTGGTTTATTTTGAATAAATTATAGTTTATTTTTTTTGAGAAATTACTTACACTTAAATTGCCAACTTTAAACATTTACTAAAGACGAATCTAATATTCTTAAACACGAATCTAATACTTCCAGCGAATCGTCATGGCGTTGGCGTCGATGCAATCCAACAATCTGCGTTTTTCCTTTGCAAACTTGTTGTGACGATGTTGATGGAATCAAGAGAACGCTTGTCATAGCTCAAGTACTGTTCAAAATGAATTGTAAGACTTGATATTTTCCAGAAAGTCTACCTTTGTTTGCCAACTCCTTCGAATCTTTGGAATGATACATCAAGCTCAACGGATCTCTCATCGATCACTGATTGTAAGTTAGTTGATTTTGAACTTGTAATTAGAAGATATCAGGCAGTACTACATCTACTACGTCTACTACAATCGCCACAACAACTACAACTACAACAACGACAACGACAACAACGACAACGACAACGACTACAACAACAACGACTACAACAACGGCAACAACAACGACTACAACAACGACAACAACGAAAACAACAACGAGGACAACAACGACGACAACAACGACAAAACCAACCATCAAAACTACAACAAAACCAACCATAAAAACCACTACAAAACCAACCACAAAAACCACTACAAAACCAACAACCACAACTAGAACCACCACCACAACTACCACAAAACCCACTACCAGAACTACAACAACAACTCGAAAAACTACGACAAAAACCACAATGAAAGCAACGACAAGAACGACCACCCGACCAACAACAACAAAAAAACGTAGGGAAAACTTTTCAAGCGAAAACTTTTTTGGCTCTTAGGTAATTTTCGGGACTTTTGATGATTCTCACCTTTTTTATTTTAGGCTTGTATGTTTGAGGTTTTTGAGTTTATAAAAATACTAGAACACTTAGGGTCCCTCCAAGTCCAGGCTCAAGGTCCAAGGGTTCCTCCAAGTCCAGGTTCAAGGTCCAAGGGTTCCTCCATCTGCTTGACTCTCCTTAATAAGAGTCATCCTTTGAATCTCATCATTGCCATTGCGCTCGTTGGCAATGAAAGAATAACAGGCAGAAAATTGAACCACACCATCGTTTTCTTCCTCTGATTCATGCATTCCTCCAAAAATTGTGTCTAGGGTAGCGTCAGTAAGATTACCAAAGTACCAAGAACAGCCAGAAGGCAGGTCTGGACCTGGCTCTTGACCTGGCTCCTGTCCTGGCTCTTGACCTGGCTCTGGACCTGGCTCCTGACCTGGCTCTTGACCTGGCTCCTGTCCTGGCTCTTGACCTGGCTCTGGACCTGGCTCTTGACCTGGCTCCTGACCTGGCTCTTGACCTAGTTCCAGATGTCTCAAATCACTGAAATTTCTTATGGTAAGATGATTAGCCTTAATGCACGACCAGCAAGAATAACAAATGAAATCAAATAAACAATAAAAATGCCAAGAAATCTCATTTTTTGGCGCCATCTATTGACACAAATGTCAAGCCTAAACGGCTGTACGCTTATCTGTACACTTATCTTTTCTGTACGCTTATCTTATCGGAAGAATCTGAAGAGAGAATCAGAAGGAAAGAAAAATGCCAACAGTGTAAACTGTCAGTCAAAATCGATGTTGTTAACCATAAATTAACCATAAATTGTTTTATTTAATTCATAGAAAATTAAGGAAAACATTTAAAAGTCCCGAAAATTAAACAAAAGCCAACTTTGTTTTCAGTTCCCGATTGTTCGTGCACACAAGCCATCCAATCTTTTCCACCCAAGCCTGTTCCGACATTTCCACAGGGAGTAAGGTAGAGAAGTTTATTTGTCCTTAACTAGTCCTTAACTAGTCCTTAACTAGTCCTTAACTAGTCCTCAACTAGTCCTTAACTAGTCATGCAAATTAGTGTTCATAAAAATTAAGTGTAGAAACTTTAACACTTTTTTATTATTTTGATAACTTTAATAAGCCACTCAAAAAACTTCGAGCTTTCAGTGGTACGTGCTCGCCGACATCTTACATATGGTGGTGTCGACCATTGAATGCAATACAAAATGCCAGCTATATGACCAGCGCTATTTACGATGATGTAAACTTTCATTTCTTTGAAATAAGCAAATTCTGTGGTTTCAAAAACTTCAAGAAAGAAACCAAAAACAAACCAAAACTAACCAAAACTAACCAAGAACAAACCAAGAACAAACCTAACCAAAAACTAACCAAAAACAAGCCAAAAACAAACCAAGAACAAAACAGAAACAAAAACAAACAAAAACAAAACAAGAACAAACCAAGAACAAACCAAGAACAAACCAAAAACAAACCAAAACAAACCTAACCAAAAACAAACCAAAAACAAACTAAAAACAAACTAAAAACAAAACAGAAACAAAACAAGAACAAATCTAACCAAAAACAAAACAAAAACAAACCAAAAACAAACCAAAACAAACCAAAACAAACCAAGAACAAACCAAGAACAAACCAAGAACAAACCAAAAACAAAACAAAACCAAGAACAAACCAAGAACAAACCAAAAACAAACCAAAAACAAACCAAGAACAAAACAAGAACAAACCCAAAACAAACCTAACCAAAAACAAACCAAAAACAAACCAAGAACAAACCAAGAACAAACCAAAAACAAAACAAAACCAAGAACAAACCAAGAACAAACCAAAAACAAACCAAGAACAAACCAAGAACAAACCAAGAACAAACCAAGAACAAACCAAGAACAAACCAAGAACAAACCAAGAACAAACCTAACCAAAAACAAGAACAAACCAAAAAACAAACCAAAAACAAACCAAAAACAAACCAAGAACAAAACAAGAACAAACCCAAAACAAACCTAACCAAAAACAAACCAAAAACAAACCAAGAACAAACCAAAACTAACCAAAAACAAACCAAGAACAAACCCAAAACAAACCTAACCAAAAACAGGCCAAAAACTAACCAAAAACCAAACAAAACAAACCAAAAACAAACCAAAAACAAATTAAAAACAAAACAGAAACAAAAACAAAACAAATCTAACCAAAAACAAACAAAAATAAACAAAAACAAACCAAAAACAAACCAAAAACAAAACAAGAACAAACCCAAAACAAACCTAAAACAAACCAAGAACAAAACAAGAACAAACCCAAAACAAACCTAACCAAAAACAAACCAAAAACAAACCAAGAACAAACCAAGAACAAACCAAGAACAAACCAAGAACAAACCAAGAACAAACCCAAAACAAACCTAAAACAAAAACAAGCAAATTTCAAAGACTTTAGCATGGAAATATACTCGCAAAGAAGACTTACTGCGGAAGCAAATGGCAACAGAACATTATCTATGGAGCGTGTAACACAACGCCATCACCTCGAACCACAATAAACCTTGCAAAGTACAATGTAAGCATTTTATAATGAAAATGAAAAAAAAAACGTATTCACAACAAAAGATTGAAACCGATTTCAGGGTGCTCGTGTGGCCTACCAAACTTGTATCAGTAACGGTCTAAACTTGCAATGTTTGATTGGATGAAATGAAACTCGTTTTCTTTAATGAATAAAACTTCTCGTGACTGAGTTGTATTTTACAAATGAGTTACAAAAAATAATACTACAATATAATACTACAATATAATACTGTATAAAGTTGACGAAATGGCAAAAGAAAAGAAATGTGATGTGCTTGATTTTTTATTGATTTTGAAGACTGCGCAGTGAGCAGTGAGCGACTGATTTACGAGACAAAAATCTATTTAAAATTATCTTTCCAACACATTCAGTACAAAGCCATTTTTTTTGCTTTATTACTGTGGCGAATAGCCACTAAAAAGTTACCTAATTCTGACAGCCTAAAAATTGGAATTTAGTTAATTTAGGGGGTCTGCCGATTAATGTCGATGCTGACCTCTAAAGAAGGTTCAAGGATTTTCGAGATTCGAATTAATTTTGCCAATTTATTTTTATTATTTCTAGCAATAAATCTAACAAGTAAACACGAAATAAATGAACTTTCTAGAATTTTTTTAGTGAGAATAGGCCACGATTGTTACTTGGGGGGGGCTTAAGCTTAGGATCAGGCTTAGGCTTAGGCGCAGGCTTAGGCTTAGGATCAGGCTTAGGATCAGGCTCAGGCGCAGGCTCAGGCTCAGGCTTAGGCTTAGGATCAGGCTTAGGATCAGGCTCAGGATCAGGCTCAGGATCAGGATCAGGCTTAGGCTTAGGATCAGGCTTAGGATCAGGATCAGGTTCAGACTTAGGCTCAGAATCAGGCTTAGGCTCAGGCTCAGGCTTAGGCTCAGGTTCAGGCTTAGGTTCAGGCACAGGCTCAGGCTCAGGCTTAGGCTTAGGATCAGGCTCAGGATCAGGCCCAGGCTCAGGCTCAGGCTTAGGCTTAGGATCAGGCTCAGGATCAGGGTCAGGATCAGGATCAGGATCAGGCTCAGGATCAGTATCAGGCTCAGAACCAGGTTCAGGTTCAAGCTTAGGCTCAGGATCAGGCTCAGGATCAGGATCCATCAAGAACAAATTTACATAACTTAGCTGCTTGAAAAGATGGTAATCCATGGGTGATACATCAGGCGAATACAGTGGGTGAGGCAGGACTTCATAGACAATCTCGTTCAAAAACTTAATCATCTTTATAGAAACCCTATGAATATGAAAGTTCAAAATGTTTGCGAAAAAATATTTACCAAAATTTCTCTAACTATAAGCTGTCTTCCAATTGCAAATTTTTGAAACGACTAAATAAAAGACAAAAAAAATTGACCATTTTTTTTGGCTTCTCTAGCCAATTTTCAATTCACCAATCCAATACGTAACGTTCGAGCAGCTCGCCTAAATTTCATATGATTTGAATGATCGTATTCGACTGTTTTTATTAGGAGAGTTTTTTATCGAAAGAGCGAAAAATGTTCCCCAAATCAGAGGCCTTGTGTATTTTCGGGAAGGCTTAGGCCGGGAAGGCTTAGGCCGGGAAGGCTTAGGCCGGGAAGGCTTAGGCCGGGAAGGCTTAGGCCGGGAAGGCTTAGGCCGGGAAGGCTTAGGCCGGGAAGGCTTAGGCCGGGAAGGCTTAGGCCGGGAAGGCTTAGGCCGGGAAGGCTTAGGCCGGGAAGGCTTAGGCCGGGAAGGCTTAGGCCGGGAAGGCTTAGGCCGGGAAGGCTTAGGCCGGGAAGGCTTAGGCCGGGAAGGCTTAGGCCGGGAAGGCTTAGGCCGGGAAGGCTTAGGCCGGGAAGGCTTAGGCCGGGAAGGCTTAGGCCGGGAAGGCTTAGGCCGGGAAGGCTTAGGCCGGGAAGGCTTAGGCCGGGAAGGCTTAGGCCGGGAAGGCTTAGGCCGGGAAGGCTTAGGCCGGGAAGGCTTAGGCCGGGAAGGCTTAGGCCGGGAAGGCTTAGGCCGGGAAGGCTTAGGCCGGGAAGGCTTAGGCCGGGAAGGCTTAGGCCGGGGAAGGCTTAGGCCGGGAAGGCTTAGGCCGGGAAGGCTTAGGCCGGGAAGGCTTAGGCCGGGAAGGCTTAGGCCGGGAAGGCTTAGGCCGGGAAGGCTTAGGCCGGGAAGGCTTAGGCCGGGAAGGCTTAGGCCGGGAAGGCTTAGGCCGGGAAGGCTTAGGCCGGGAAGGCTTAGGCCGGGAAGGCTTAGGCCGGGAAGGCTTAGGCCGGGAAGGCTTAGGCCGGGAAGGCTTAGGCCGGGAAGGCTTAGGCCGGGAAGGCTTAGGCCGGGAAGGCTTAGGCCGGGAAGGCTTAGGCCGGGAAGGCTTAGGCCGGGAAGGCTTAGGCCGGGAAGGCTTAGGCCGGGAAGGCTTAGGCCGGGAAGGCTTAGGCCGGGAAGGCTTTGTGTGACGAAAGCTTTTCTACAATCGCCCAGAAATCTAGCACAAAACAGCCTCCGAACACACAATTAAACCCCCAATAATTACTGCTTTTCATGCAAGGGTTCAAGTTTGAAAATCCCTGGCCTTTCAGAAAGTTTATTGGACTTATTTCCATCAAATGACTAATTTTTAAAGTTTGTGTTAAAGCGTTAAAGTTTAAAAACGATTTCTCCCAAGCTTTAAGTGATTTTGATCTTGGAAAAACCTAAGCAGTTTAATGATTTTATTTATTTTTAAAACCGAAAGTGCTTTGTCTACGTAAAAAGCTATATTAATCATTTAATAATGTATTTACTGCTCGAGTATGCCACCATCGTATGGTCACCTTCCATTAAGAAACTTATCACCTTGGTTGAAAATGTACAACGGCGTTTCACTAAAAAAAAGCATACACTCGTTGTTTCCCTTCTTCTCTTATTCCAAATTATGAGACTAGACTTATAGTTTTTGATTTAAAACCCCTTTTATATCGCCGTATTTACTTTGATCTGATTTTCTGCTATAAAATCCTTTTCCACCCTAAGGCGCATCCGGAATTTCAAAGTCTCTTGAAAATTGTAGAAAGCCCTAGAAGAACCGGTAGTCATCCTTATCAAATTTCGGTCGGTTCTCATCCCCACCACCTTTCCCTTTATCATTCTTTCGCGAACCGTATTAGTAGGGTTTGGAATAAGCTCCCGCCTGGTATCTTCTCGTCTGTAGGAAAATTCAAAGTATCTGTAAACGAATTAGATCTTATTGCCATGTCAAATCTGCCTTATATTTAATCTTTTTGTACTTTTTGTTTCCTAACTGTAGTCTTACTGTACTATTTTTAGTTTTCTTTTTTGTGAAAGTATTATAGCAATTATATGCGGTTATGATTATCTGATTCGCTTCTATTCGCCCTCCTGAATAAAGCATATATATATTTGTTGTATCCGATTTGGATTGAAACATTATTTCACAGTAGGGTGTCATGTTTTTAAAATTTTTTTTAATCATTTTCTAGAAATTTTATCGAGGTTTAACTCTGGCAACCTAGAACAGTCCGCTAGGCACCACCTTTGCCCAAAAAAGTAGTAGTTTATTTACGCGTTCTTCTTGTTGAAGAACTTCTCGTCCTTTCTGGTTCGCTACCGGCTTTCCGTCGTTCGTCTTCGTGATAAAGCGTGACTTTCGTGTTTTCGATTGAAAGAGTGTATCGCTTCAGCAAGTTGATTTCATGATAGTTCATTTTTGAAGTCCTCAGTGTTGTTAATCGTTAAAATTTTTAATTTTATCAACCATCAGCTTGTAGATTTCGGCTGTCGGAATTTGACTCGTCTTTTTTCGCTTCAATAAACTGTCGAATTTCTCATAGAAGCGTGACTCCATCTGTAAAACAACAACGTAACATAGGGTAAACACCGCGGATATCCGATTTGGATTGAAATCCAAATCGGATATCCGCGGTGAGTTCAATCCAAATCGGATACAACATATTAATCAACGCAAATTTTTTCAGAAAACCGTTAAATTTGCTCTTAGCAATGAATTTGACAACTGTTTCTTCTTTATTATTCTCGACAACTCAAGCCACTTTCACAACAACTCACTCACAAGCTATTCATGGATTCGATAGAACGAAATGCAACGAATTCACCGGATATTATTGGATGATTCCCGTGTATGAGCTGAAATATGGATGGAATGGATTGCCCTTTCCCTCGCCGATCAACGACTCGCAAAAGTGGTGATGGTCGCTTTGATGTCTTTGGTAATCTCCCGATTTGAACTATTTTAAGGGTTCAGTTCTTGTGAAAAACGAGACAAAAATTAGGCTTGTTTATGGTTGGTTATTGGATAGAAAAGCAAACTTTACCAGTTCTCTGTTGAAAATCTTACTCGTGTCTCTTTGATAAATTTAAAAAATTTAAAAATCAAGCTACCAAGCAAGCAATCAAGCCGAGGAAAGTGATGACTTGAATCTTTTTGTTATTGATATTCCGCTAGATTTTATGGGCTAACTTATGACGCTTTGACTTGTTAAAATTGATCTTTTGAATAAATTACTTATTAAATAAAATACTTATTAAATAAAATACTTATTAAATGAAATACGCTTTTTTGAAATGGATACTATTTTTGTGAAATCCGCTTGTGAACCGCAGTTGTGAACCGCAGTTGTGAACCGCAGTTGTGAACCGCAGTTGTGAACCGCAGTTGTGAACCGCAGTTGTGAACCGCAGTTGTGAACCGCAGTTGTGAACCGCAGTTGTGAACCGCAGTTGTGAACCGCAGTTGTGAACCGCAGTTGTGAACCGCAGTTGTGAACCGCAGTTGTGAACCGCAGTTGTGAACCGCAGTTGTGAACCGCAGTTGTGAACCGCAGTTGTGAACCGCAGTTGTGAACCGCAGTTGTGAACCGCAGTTGTGAACCGCAGTTGTGAACCGCAGTTGTGAACCGCAGTTGTGAATTCGAGTGAAAAATAGAATGACACTTTTTAATAGAACGACACCCAGAGGGGTTATTGAAAAATATAAATAATGCGAGTTGGGGAGTGACCGAAAGCAGGTCTGGATATACTCGAAAAACGAAGCTCGAAATTCTTGCCTATGCCAAACGGATAATTGGAAGTGCCGTTTACGAATGAAATGTAATTGTCGTAGCCGTTTACGAAATGTTTAAATGCAAATTTATGTTG